TCAGGTCTAAGTCTCATGGCCCTCTATCAGAATCCAGAGTTTTGGGAAGATTGGAGAAACTTAATTTTTCGCCCAAAAAAAAAAACGTAAGGGGTACCACTGTCGTTTTTTTTTCGGGCCGAATTTTTGAGTTTCGATATCTCAGCTCTGGAAGGGGCTAGAGCCTCCATTTTTGCACTCAGGTCTAAGTCTCATGGCCCTCTATCAGAATCCAGAGTTTTGGGAAGATTGGAGAAACTTAATTTTTCGCCCAAAAAAAAAAACGTAAGGGGTACCACTGTCGTTTTTTTTTCGGGCCGAATTTTTGAGTTTCGATATCTCAGCTCTGGAAGGGGCTAGAGCCTCCATTTTTGCACTCAGGTCTAAGTCTCATGGCCCTCTATCAGAATCCAGAGTTTTGGGAAGATTGGAGAAACTTAATTTTTCGCCCAAAAAAAAAAACGTAAGGGGTACCACTGTCGTTTTTTTTTTCGGGCCGAATTTTTGAGTTTCGATATCTCAGCTCTGGAAGGGGCTAGAGCCTCCATTTTTGCACTCAGGTCTAAGTCTCATGGCCCTCTATCAGAATCCAGAGTTTTGGGAAGATTGGAGAAACTTAATTTTTCGCCCAAAAAAAAAAAAACGTAAGGGGTACCACTGTCGTTTTTTTTTCGGGCCGAATTTTTGAGTTTCGATATCTCAGCTCTGGAAGGGGCTAGAGCCTCCATTTTTGCACTCAGGTCTAAGTCTCATGGCCCTCTATCAGAATCCAGAGTTTTGGGAAGATTGGAGAAACTTAATTTTTCGCCCAAAAAAAAAAACGTAAGGGGTACCACTGTCGTTTTTTTTTCGGGCCGAATTTTTGAGTTTCGATATCTCAGCTCTGGAAGGGCTAGAGCCTCCATTTTTGCACTCAGGTCTAAGTCTCATGGCCCTCTATCAGAATCCAGAGTTTTGGGAAGATTGGAGAAACTTAATTTTTCGCCCAAAAAAAAAAAACGTAAGGGGTACCACTGTCGTTTTTTTTTCGGGCCGAAATTTTGAGTTTCGATATCTCAGCTCTGGAAGGGGCTAGAGCCTCCATTTTTGCACTCAGGTCTAAGTCTCATGGCCCTCTATCAGAATCCAGAGTTTTGAGAAGATTGGAGAAACTTAATTTTTCGCCGGAAAAAAAAAAAACGTAAGGGGTACCACTGTCGTTTTTTTTTCGGGTCGAAATTTTGAGTTTCGATATCTCAGCTCTGGAAGGGTCTAGAGCCTCCATTTTTGCACTCAGGTCTAAGTCTCATGGCCCTCTATCAGAATCCAGAGTTTTGAGAAGATTGGAGAAACTTATTTTTCGCCGAAAAAAAAACGTAAGGGGTACCACTGTCGTTTTTTTTTCGGGCGAAATTTTGAGTTTCGATATCTCAGCTCTGGAAGGGTCTAGAGCCTCCATTTTTGCACTCAGGTCTAAGTCTCATGGCCCTCTATCAGAATCCAGAGTTTTGAGAAGATTGGAGAAACTTAATTTTTCGCCCGAAAAAAAAAAAACGTAAGGGGTACCACTGTCGTTTTTTTTTCGGGTCGAAATTTTTGAGTTTCGATATCTCAGCTCTGGAAGGGTCTAGAGCCTGTCATTTTTTTTTTTTTTTGTTTTTTTTTTTTGGGTGGGGGGGGTCGAAATTTTGAATTCTCTGATCATCTTGAAACTCTGGATTCTGATAGAGGGCCATGAGACTTAGATTCTGAGTGCAAAAAATTATGCTCTAGACCCTTCCAGAGCTGAGATATTGAGTTTTTTAATTGGCAAAAAAAAAACGTGGGTACCTTCAAACATCTCAGCTCTGGAAGGGTCTAGAGCCTCCATTTTTGCACTCAGGTCTAAGTCTCATGGCCCTCTATCAGAATCCAGAGTTTTGGAAGATTGGAGAAACTTAATTTTTCGCCCCAGAAAAAAAAAACGAAAGGGGTACCACTGTCGTTTTTTTTTGGGGGGGGTCGAAATTTTGAGTTTCTCTAATCTTCTTGAACTCCTGGATTCTGATAGAGGGCTATGAGACCTTAGATCTGAGTGCAAATGAAAAGATTGGAGAAACTTATTTTTTCTCCCCAGGAAAAAAAAAACGACAGGGGTACCACTGTCGTTTTTTTTGGGGGGGTAGAAATTTTGAGTTTCTCTAATATTCTTGAAACTCTGGATTCTGATAGAGGGCCATGAGACTTAGTTCTGAGTGCAAAAATGAGAAGATTGGAGAAACTTTTTTTTTCGCCCCAGAAAAAAACCCGACAGGGGTACCACTGTTGTTTTTTTTTGGGGGGGGGGGGGGGGATTTTGACTTTCTGTAATCTTCTTGAAAATCTGGATTCTGATAGAGGGCCATGAGACTTAGTTCTGAGTGCAAAAATGAGAAGAATGGAGAAACTTTTTTTTTCGCCCCAGAAAAAACCCGACAGGGGTACCACTGTTGTTGTTTTTTTTGGGGGGGGGGGTCGAAATTTTGAGTTTCTCTGATCTTCTTTAAACTCTGGATTCTGATAGAGGGCCATGAGACTTAGATCTGAGTGCAAAAATGAGAAGATTGGAGAAACTTATTTTTTCGCCCCAGAAAAAAAAACGACAGTGGTACCACTGTTTTAAGAAGATCAGAGAAACTCAAAATTTCGGCCCCCCCAAAAAACGACAGTGGTACCCCTGTCGTTTTTTTTCTGGGGCGAAAAAATTTGTTTCTCCAATCTTCTCATTTTTGCACTCAGATCTAAGTCTCATGGCCCTCTATCAGAATCCAGAGTTTCAAGAAGATCAGAGAAACTCATAAATTCCCCCCCCCCTCATTTTTTCGCCCCAGAAAAAAAACAACAGGGGTACCACTGTCGTTTTTTTATCTGGGGCGAAAAAATAAGTTTCTCCAATCTTCCCAAAACTCTGGATTCTGATAGAGGGCCATGAGACTTAGACCCGAGTGCAAAAATGGAGTCTCTAGACCCTTCCAGAGCTGAGATATTGAGATCCCACGTAGCATTTATGCCATTATAAAAACTCAATATCTCAGCTCTGGAAGGGTCTAGAGCATAAATTTTTGCACTCAGATCTAAGTCTCATGGCCCTCTATCAGAATCCAGAGTTTCAAGAAGATCAGAGAAACTCAAAATTTCATCCCCAACCAAAAAAAAAACGACAGTGGTACCCCTGTCGGTTTTTTTTCTGGGGCGAAAAAATGAGTTTCTCCAATCTAGACCCGAGTGCAAAAATGGAGTCTCTAGACCCTTCCAGAGCTGAGATATTGAGATTTTTATAATGGCATAAATGCTACATGGGATCTCAATATCTCAGCTCTGGAAGGGGCTAGAGCCTCCATTTTTGCACTCGGGTCTAAGTCTCATGACCCTCTATCAGAATCCAGAGTTTTGAGAAGATTGGAGAAACATATTTTTTCGCAACGAAAAAAAAAAAAACGACAGGGGTACCACTGTAGTTCCACTAAGTCTCAAAAGAAAAAAAAGATGGGTACCACTGTCCTTTTTTTGGGGGGGGGGGTTTTGAGTTTCTCTGATTCTTATATTCTGTTTATTTGTAGTGTACTGATAATAGTTTTATATAATTAGTTTGTTAATTAAACTAATAATTATAAATAATTGATTTCCCTATAAAATAATACTACAAACACTTAAAAATAAACAGATTAGTGCCCTGTTTTGAGAACAAGAAATGAAATCCAATGCGGTATGATGAATGTCTAAAAGATGGAACTCTGTAATGGCCACTTAGTGTTCAGTAGTGTTCATGACATGTTGATATGCCTTTAAGATGACTTCTATGGCTTTCGTTATTGTATGCGTAATGTTGTTATGTGAGCGGCTCAGTGAGAGTGAGAATGCTTGCGCAAAGAGGAAGAATATGACCGATCTATCGCGGGATGTTATTTTGATACAATGCGTTTACTTCCACTTTGATTTGTAGCGTTTTACAGATTGTTTTCTTTAACCTGTTAACATCCGCTCTTTCGACATGTATGTGAAGAGTGTGCTTAACTGAAAGAAAGCAACTATAAAAGGACTCGTGGAACAACCAGTTCATTTGCACTGTCTTTCCTATTCTTCTGGGACCTCAAACTCTGACAGACGTCTTTCAAACAGGGCTTGGATACATATGTTTTGCTACACAAATATAAGTAAACACTTTGCAGACTGAATGTTGTCTTGTATGAACAAAATGACAGATGTTTTTCATAACTCCACTGTTTGATTGCACCCGCGCGTCTCACACACAGGTTACGTTACCCTGTAGAAAATATTTGACCTGGCTGGCAGAACGATTGCCTTTGCCTGCATCTTTGCGGTGACATGACTAACATATTTAAGACCTATCCAATCTGAATTTAAGACACTTTAATACTTTTTAAGGCCTTATTTTTAGGAAAATTGATTTAAGACTTTTTAATACTTTTTAATGACCCGCGGCCACCCTGTTAATAGTCTTAGATTTTGTCCCCACAGCAATCTTAGTTTGGCGTGTAATATTCACCAGATTAGACAGGTTTGCTGTGCAGCTTTTGAAGGCCTTAGATTTTCCATCATGCAATTTAACAGCAATAGAGAAACATTCAAGCCCACTGGGTTCCCGCTAGTTTTGTAAACATTTAAAAAAGTTACTGTTATCATAGCGGGGACCCGACACATATCACTGAGAGCTGGTATCAGTTGTTTTTGGTTCACCTCGAGCCGATGGAGGAGGGTGTGGGCAGAGGCTTTGGTGGTTGTGCCAGGCAAAAGATTCACAGGAGTGTCTTGATCTTACTTCAGATGACAGTATTTTTCATGATGCAAATTATTGTCAATATGTCAGTAGTTTCCTCCATCTTGGCTATTAGTTAATACACAGGTCAATGTTTTACAGTGCCTTTATCATGCAGATGGTGTGCGATTTCTTAGTGACTATATCAAAGTGAATTATTTGGAGAAAAGTTTTACGAGCTGCAGCTCCTTGTTATGAACTCATTTAAATCAGTTTTTTTTCCTCAGGGCTTTTACTGATTCAAGAAATGGTAAATGGATCAGAAGGTAAGCGTCTCTCTCTTTGCTTTCAAATAGGTTTTTATCTTCTGCCAGATAGAACCGTTATATGCCAGACAGAATTTTAGTATGCCATTTGGATTTAATTTCTTTTCAATATATATTTTTAGTGGTTTAGGTTTAGTTAATAAGCTAAGGATAACAGATAAAAAAAATACTTAAGCATTTTATTTCAGTTAAACGCTTTTAAAGACCTACTTTCCTAATGTTCAACAAGAATGAATAAAACTGTCTTTTTACTGGTCTTATTTCAGAGAACGTAGCATTAAGGCAAACATCCACCCAATCATCCATGTACGACAACGAATATGCTGGAAAAGCAGTCGATGGTGTGCTGGAAACCTATGCCCACACTAACACGGAGACCGACCCGTGGTGGAGAGTGGATCTGATGAAAGTATACAGAGTCAACAGAGTAGCCATCACTAACAGAGTGACCCCCTATTATTATACCAGGATAAACGGGGCAGTGATTCGCGTCGGGAACTTTCTGGACATTTACAGCAACACCATGTGAGGCTTCCTTTGACTGTTTTGATGAATGTGGCTGCAGATGAACAGAAACTGATAACAGATTATCTCTCTGTAGATGTGCTGTAATTTCCACTATTCCATCTGGAGCCACGGCCAATTTCTCATGCGGCGGGATGGAGGGACGTTACGTGATTCTCCATATTCCTGGAGATCAGAAGACTCTTACTATTAGTGAGGTTGAAGTTTATGGGTATTTAGCAGGTAATTCATTGTTGTAGAACACTTTCAATATCCACAAGTTTCCTACGCCCCATGAGGCCTTGCGTCAAAAGTGGGCGCGACTTCCGGTTCGAAGTAAACAAAGCGTGATTTAACATGCTTGACACTCGTTCATTCAACAGTTGACAGTCATTCAAGTTAAAGCGATCCAAACTAGCTAACGATGTGGGAACACAACCTCAACGAAATTCAAAAGGGTGAAATAACAGTACCTTTACCCTCCGCAGTAGTTGATTGGGAGTATTATAACAACATTATTAATAATCAATACTCATCAAGGCATGGTGACAGACAGTTGTGCGAGCTGACAAACAATTAAAATAAAAAATACACACTTAGTCATTGTGCTTTGGAGTTTATTCAAAATTATAAATGAATGTGCTGCTTGAATACATTAACTGGCACATTTGGTATTCTGTTAACACAGGCTTTGATCCTGAGTTTAGCTGTAACATCAGTAGCGAACAGCCAATCACATGCTGATAGAGTTTATAGAATATTAAGAATTTAAACAAATGTACACAGGAAGATTCGTCGTCTTTTGGGAGGTTGATGGAAACTTCAGTTGTTGGCAGGAGCACTCTGATTTCGTTTTCAGCTTATGTTCAAAACAATCACGTTTAAGCCACTGAACTAGTTTAATCCGGTTATACATACAACCGCGAACAGCACATGTTGTCCATGAACTCCGTAACGACATTTCTCATAAAGATTTGCGTCTTTAAATAGTAAAATAATTCTCAGAAAAACAGCTAGCCTCTTCGCTAACTAACACACAAAATACCATTGGAATGCTACTTCCGCCGCATCACCGGAAGTTTCACCCACTTTATTTTTTACAGGAGCGCCCCTCGGAAACTTGTGGATACAAGACTGATAATTGTTACACTTTATTTATACCCTCCCAAAGCATTCCAACTCTATTGCCAGTGATCTGACTCTTTTACTGTCAGATTAGTCAGACACATGCATGTGTCCCTGTTGTGAGGATGGTCAGTGTTTGTTTAATTCTAACTACAGGAAGTGGGGAAAATGTTAACATAGAAAGTACAAAAAAGTTAGCGCGGAAATGACTCAATTCACTTCAAGTTGGTGTTCATCAATAATCCTGTAGCTCTCAAATCTCATTCACACAAGTGCATGTTCAAACTATCAGTGTCAAGACATGTCAGAACTTCATTCTTTTCCCAGGAAATCTGGCGTTAGATGGAGCCGCTACACAGTCATCAACATCTGGGGACTGGTTTGCTGGAAACGCCATTGACGGTAATCGAGGTCTCCAGCAGTTGTACACGGGATGCTCCTCAACCCTTAATCAGACTAACCCGTGGTGGAGGCTGGACCTGCGTCAGATTTACACAGTTAGTAATGTGGTCTTCACTAACAGAAATGACTGCTGTGCAGAACAAATAAACGGAGCGGAGATTCGCATCGGGAACTCTTTGGAGAACAACGGCAGCAACAATCCCATGTGAGACTCTTGAGGTTGAAATTACATGAGAGAAATGCAAAGATTCAACACACTATCTCCTTCATCGGTTTCTCTCTCTGTCTGTAGATGTGCTGTTATTCCTGCTATTCCAGCAGGCGAGTCCTACAACTACTCATGTGGTGGGATGGAGGGACGTTATGTGAATCTGATCATTCCTGGAGACATGAAGACACTCACTATCTGTGAGCTGGAGGTTTATGGAGAAGGTGAAACATATTAATAAAAATAAATTAATGAACACAGTCAACTAATTCATAAATTTACATGTATGAATATATCTTTGTTCAGGTCCCGCTTTAAAAAGATCATTTGTAAAAATGCAGTTTAACTCCATCAATGATTTGACTGACCCTTCAATGAGAGAAAATGTTCTGAAACAGGTGAGAGAAAGAAACCAATTCAACGTTAAAGAGCTACTGGTATGTTGCAGTAATCATGGCAATTAAAGTTTGTTTGAGGCATTTCTTTGAGATTTGAGCATTATCATCATATTCTGAGGCTGACTTTAAAACGTTCTGACCAGTCTTGAAGAAGAAATGAGAGAACTGACTTGTAAGACTAGTTCAAGCAGTTTATGCATCTGGCCATTGTTCTAATCATTTTATTATGAATGTTATTTTCAGTTGGGATCTGCTCTTGCTGATAGAGGATTCACAAATATGACACTGAGATGGACTCAAACTCCTGAACGGGTGATCCAGGGGAACGATGCTGAACGTGAGTCTTAATGACTTATAAAATAAGCTGCACAAATAGGAATGTTCAATTGGTAAGAGATGTAATAAGCAAACGTTTTATTTACAGGTCGTTGTGTTAAAGAAAATTAACACTCTGGAGATCAACACTTCCTTCAGTTCACTCAATTCACAAAGGCAAGGGTGAGTTGATTGTGAGGATCCTGAATATTGCCCTGATTCACACCTGAGAAGACAATTACACGCATAATGAGCTGCATAATGATCCTTTCACACAGGTGGGTCACTGGGTACCGAAGAATGTGAAGACAAAAAAATAAACACGTTAAGAGATGTTGAAACATCTTGAAAAAAATTGTCGTTTTCCACCGGGTACCACAAGAAAGAATGCAAGGACAAAAATAAAATAAATATATATAGTCACAAATTGTGTATGCATGCAAATTGTATAATATTCAAGGTAAACATTTCTTGTAATTGTTTAGTTAATTCTCATTCTGTATTTTTAGAAAGGTATCCTCAATAATAAAACACAAAAAAAGTTACAACAACCATTGCAATTTTACTAACATTTCAAGTGTAATGTTTCTTTGTAAAAAAGTATATATTTTATCATATGTAGTGTATCTGGGCCGTGCCAGGGTGAATCATGCATTTCAACACGCTGAGGATTGAACCAGAACCTTTATGGCTTTGCAATCCTTGCCAGAGACCATCATAATAAATGTATTGGCATGTATCTATTTTTCCATCTTATAATTTTCCTTTCATGTGTTTTGGCCTATGTATTCATTCTCTCTTCTAAACTATTTTGGGTTTGAGACATGACTTGCATGCTATGATTAACCCAAAATCACATGTGTAGCATGTTTAGTCTCTATAAACTCCAATCTTCGTAATTTGGATAAAACCTAATTTTATCGTTCTGTGGATATTATCCTCAATGATAAAAACTTCCCCTGAAAACATTCCTAAGACGTACACAAAGCAGATTGCAGGGTCATAAACACACATCATAAACTCATATCCTGCCAAAACCATAAATCAAGGGGGCCATAAATCATTTTGACATAAGCTAAAGTACTCTTACTACTCACAGTCTTTCACACAAGTGTGATCCACTGTTCCCACAGATAAACAAAACAACATTCCTAGTTTGGAGAAGTAGTGTTACAAAAAAGAAAGCAAGTTATGTCCTTACGATATGTTCTTATTATTTACTTTTTCCATATCAACGTTCAGAAGTTATACATGCAAGAGTAACAACGAAAAGTGTTCAGGCAGAGTGCTCAGGCTGTAAATTAAATACACAATGGTGTATTGATTGTTTTCTGTGAATACAGACAATTTATTTTTCAAAAAGTGCTTCATGTTCAAAGATAATATCTGGTTATTATATATCAGTCCCTCCTAACCCCCAAAAAGCTGGAAGAAATCTAAAATACATGCCAAACAAAACTCAGGTCTCAGGAGGTTAAGATAGGCCCACTGTCCTCGCATGATGCAAAAACTGCTTCTTGTACAAAAACAAATTTTAGTTTTTATACTTAATCGGTCCTACTTATCCCAAATAGCAACAATTATAAAATGCACACCAGGCAAACTCTCAGGAGGTTAAAATGAAAATGACATCATGAAATGGCCACTATAATCAGTAGATGGCAGCAGAGCATGCAGGGTCACTGAACATCAGTCGTGGAAAGGGATTCTGAAACATTTTAGCTGGATGTTCAGTTGTTCACTTACATTTGTTTTAATGTTAATGCTTGTTTTAGAGAACATTCAAAAGAAACATTTCCATTTTGTTTGGAAAATGAAAAAAGGAAATGTTTCCTCAATGTTCGCACAGCCAAGAAAAATATTTAAAACACTAGATGGTCATTTAACCAAACATGTCATTAGTTGGGCTTCTTTTCACTATATTTTGCATTTGGCAGCTGAAGGGTCATTAGTTGTCAGGGAAAGTTCATCTGTTAAAATTGGCCAGACACAGCTTGGGTGTCATAAAAATGGAAATCTCTGCTGACACTCTTTTGAATGTTATTTTCAATGTAAAATATGCATGTCTGCAGACACTTCACGTAAAAACAGAGCAGCACAACCTTTCTTGTCCCTGAAAAGAGCAGTTCAGTTGTGCATTAGTGTTCATTTGTTGGCGTTTCATCATGATGAGGACTGATTTGATCTTTGTGCTGTTGGCAGGTGAGTTTATGATATTGAATCTGTATCTTAAACGAGTATGAATATGATTTTCAAGAAATTAAATAATGGGTTATGCAGGGATTCCCAATTTGTTTTTGTCAGATGGACCCTTTTGACTTAAAATATTTACCATTGGCCTTGATAGGGGTGGGTGATATGGCAAAGTCTTATATTGTTTTCGTGAAATAAAATTTCTTGTATCTTGTTATATCACAACAATATGTTTGCTTTAAATAAGGTTTTTATGATCATTTTTAAGCGATTGAAATATCACAATTATTATTACCGTTCTAAATATCACAAAAACTATTAGCCAAAGTATTAATAAAGCAAGACAAGTAGACCGTGATAAAGAAAGACCAAAGAAATGAATTACAAGTATATAGGAAAACAAACTACAATAGAACAAACAGGCTCCTACATAAATTATATAAAGTAAGTAATCAAATGTATAAAAACACTTTTAAAATAATTATATATTTATTCTTGTTAAAATTACAAAAGTGAGAGCTGAGCTGTGAGAGATTTTCTCCCTTGTTTGTTGTTTGATTAAAATTAATAACGAAAGCAGGTTTATTAGGATGGGACAAGTTCGATATTTTACACTAAAAGCCCTGTTTTAAGATAGTTTCTGATGAAAACGTATACATAACGATTAAGATTGAAATCTCCTGCTGCCCATCCAACCACAGACCCCTGAAAATTATCGGGTCAGTAGCATGTGTCTAAATTTCAATCTTAACCGTCCTATTCGTTCAGAAACGATCTTAAAACAGGGCTTTAAGTGTAAAATACTGAACTTATCCTTTGCGACTGACTGCACAGACCTAATATACTTGTGCGTTTTCTTTCTCAACTGTTTGACTTGAGACAGCGATTTCAAACCGTGTGTTTTTAACACTGTCCTTGGTTCACTGCAGTTTTAAGCAGAAAATACTCAGCAATGCACTGTCGACTTATGAATTTATACATGGTTCGTCTTAAAGCGTATCTTATTAAAACAACACCACATGACACAAAAACAACAATAAAAACGTGATTTTCATTCCTACTTCAGATGAAGGTCCGCTGACATGGGGTTATTTTTATAATATAATGTTTCCTGGGTTGCCCTCCTATGTTTTTTAGATCAAAAATAGTCATAATTTATAAATTTCCTAGCCTGATTTTAGCCTCTGATTTGAACACTCTGTTTGTGCTGTAACCGGCCTCTGCTGACATTGCATATGAAATAGCTACATATTACAAAACTCTCTTGAATGCTTTTACTACAGCTATTATATGTTTTTACTATTACAGATATCGAGATTATTGAATCGTGAGAAGTTTTGAAGTATTTAGATTCCCATCACATAAAATATTGATGAGCATTGAGCAGCAGATGACAGTCTGTCGATCGCGAAAATGAAGATCTTATTGAATAATCATGCAGTTTCTGCACTCTCTGTCTTCACCAATGCAGACACGATGATGTACAGTTAGAGCTTCGTTGTGCAGTGTACGTTCTCTCTAAAGCCCGAAACTCGTCCGCTCTCGTCGAGGTAAAAAGCTGCACTTGAACTCACCGAGAGAACTGCAGCTGATTGTCAACCATAGATATATACACTAGACCTCACCTTGGGGTTCTAAGCATGCGTCAAAACCGCCGCCATCTTGGAACAGGGTCTTGTTATAGGAAGTAGCTAGGTAACGCTGCTATCTCTGCCTTTACTTCGAATTCATTGATGGTGGCGGACTTTTGTGAAGCGTATGAAATTCACGGATGAAATCTGAACTAGAAGAATGTTTAAAAAAAAAAAAAATATTTTTTTTCTTTCTGTAATCAATGATAAATACATGTCTGACTGTTGGAACAAACCAAAAAAAACAAGAAAAATCACATTCATGATGATTTATGGTGATTTTATTTGCGTTAACCTGTGTCTACTAAATTTGACGCTGATGCAATAAAGTGGAGGGCTCCCCTGTTCAAGATGGCGGCTCTATTGACGCATTCGTTCCAATGAACTGCCGTATCCAAGGTGAGGTCTAGTGTATATGTCTATGATTGTCAACTATAATGAAGCCAACTGTCTTTTCTGCAGAATATTAGTCTATATTCGTCATTCAAAAAAGGAAAACGACGCCGCCGGCTAACGTAAACAAA